GATGTTTCCTATGGGTTTTTTCGCTTAAGGACGGCAATCTGTGCCTATTGGAACGGATTAACCGGTTTCCAATGCATTCCTATGGAAAATGGTGTTTCGCATAACGATGTTTCACATAACGTTGTTTTTTTTGGAACCAATTAAAATCGTTATGCGAGGCACCACTGTATGGGCTTTGATCCAATGTTTTAATTTACTGTGTTTTTGTTTATGTTGATAATATTTTCTGCAGGCACATTTAATAATGCAAATAATGTAAATAGTTTGTTTTGGAGCCTTTCTGCAGAACATTTTACATACCACATTACTCTAAATATGTGGTAATTAATATTTTGTTTTAAACATAAAATAATTAAAATTTATTTTTAAATAAGTTCAGATAATTTAAATGGATTAAGTAGAACTTCCATCTGTCTTCTGTAAAAACATATATATGAAAAGCTAAAGAAAATTTGTATAACTAATTTTGATCCCAATAAATAAATCTTTGTTATAACTGATAATTATATATTCTCAGGTAATCAAATGTGTATTTGATTAATCTTTGTAAATGAAACTACACTCATATTTTACTGTTCTTATTGCCCTAGCCACATTTGTATTGGAAATAAATAAAATCCAGGCCTAACAGCTCAGCAGGGCAACATCTTCATCTGTTATGATGCCTCAATTTTGAATGAACAGTTTACATTGTTGACATTTTGTCAACATTTTGACATTTTGTGTCATTTCAGTTCATGTCTCCTATTTTGTGAATCAAACTATTTTATTCTCAGCAATTATTATTACAGCAAATTGTTTTTAGATATATACCGTATTTTTCGCACCATAAGACACACTTTCCCCCCACAAAACAGGGGGGGTGGAAAGTCTGTGCGTCTTATGGAGCGAAGAAAACAGATTATATTTTCCTGTTTTCTTCTCCTAAAAAATTGGTGCGTCTTATGGAAAGGTGCGTCTTATGGAGCAAAAAATATGGTAGTTTTCAAAGGAGTGGTCATGTTAGTCTATGCAAGCATATCAAACAAAAACCAAAAAGAAAAAACAAGAGGTAAAAATGTTGTACCTTAAAGACTAACTGCTGTATTTTAATGTGAGCTTTTACATTAAAAGTCCACTTCGTCAGACATGTGAGTGACCCTCATAGTGGTCCCATGACTACATGGGGATACAGATAATTGGATAGTGACAATAGTTCATTAGTAAAGGCTGTCAGGCTGTGAATAATGTCAGCCATCCGTCTCCAATAGGTAACAATTGTCTTGTTGACACAAAAGGCAAACTGAATCTATGTAGCATTTCACACTTGATAATAATTAGAGATGCCAGTTCATTGAATGGTCAAAGGTGTTTGGTGCTTCAAAGCCCTGCCTCCTGTGGCAGGGGCCCATTCAGAGGTAGCACCCCAGTTCCCTGTTCTGCTGCCTCCAGGTGCTGCCTCTGAGTGGGCGCCCATTGGAAGAGGCGGGGCTTTGAAGCACCAAACACTTGTTTGGATGCTAAACAAACCAACATGAATGGTTCATACCCATCTCTAGTAATGATTTAATAATCCCCCACTGATACTCAGATGTTAAGTGAGTCTCCAGCATCAGTGTATACTTTATCTCAGCTGTTTCTGTTTCATATTGTAGCATTTTTTCAAAATGGCAACTATCATGTCCTACTCTGTGCAGCTAAAAATAAAAACAATAGTAATAATAATTGAAATTATCTGAAACAGGTTTTTTATGTTGCCATTGTTGGTGCCAGATTTAATTCCATTGATTCTTTTATGCACTTTGTCTTGTGTAGAGTGCAGAAGGGCATTGTTGGCATCAGACACAGAGATGGACCACAGGTCATCAGGAAAACCATTCAGAATGAGGACAGAGCCGACATGGTTGTTATCCTCTGTGACTTTGTGCTCACACACAATTATTTCACCTATCTCCAGATTAATGGAACTGCCATGAGTACTCACATGGTATCACAATATGCAAAGATATTCATGGCTGACCTGGACCAGTGCTTTTAACCGTTGTATCTAAAAACCACTCCTCCATTTGAGGTACAGTGATGACATTTCTGCTATCTGGACCTATGAGGAGAAAAAACATCCTGGAGGAATTCCACCAGAACTTGAATAACTTTAATCCTAACATAAACCTCAATCTGGATCAGTCTACACAACAGGTACACTTTTTGGATACCACTGTGAAACAACAAGGGCATCATAGCACCACTGTATTGAAGCTATACTTACTAATACTCATATTTGCATGCCTCCAGCTTCCATCTGGAGCACACAATAATGTCTGTTGTCTACAGCAGGGATTTCCAACCCCTGGTGTGTGGCCCAGTGCCAGTCCGTGGGCTTCCCAGGACAGGGCCGTGGAGACAGATCTCCGCCCTCCAGCACACCCACATGGTGGGTGTGTTGTGCTCACGGGGTGTGTTACGACACGCCCACCCGCAAGCGCAGCACACCTACCTGCGAGCGCGGGAGTGCCCCCTCCGGTCCACAGTTCCAAAAAGGTTGGGGGCCACTGGTCTTCAGCCAAGCCCTTAGCTATAAATGCATCTGCTTGGACCCACAAGATGGAGGTTGAAAACTCAAGAATGTACAAAAACATTAATCAGGCTATAATAAACGTCCAGTATGGTTAAAGAACAAATTAATCAGGCAAGATGAATCCCAGGAGCAACCTAATGCAAGGCAGACAAAGAAGAGAAAATGGCGAAACACCATTAGTTATCACCTTCAACCTACAATTAAGACAACACATAGGCATCATAAATGATCTTCAACCCATTCTTGATGAGAATACTTCCATCTTCCAAGCCATTGGTGGAAGGCCGATATTTACAAACACACACACAAATTCAAACAACTATTGACACACAACAGACTACTTAACACTGATACAAAGATGGGAACTGAACCCTGCTACAAACTCAGATGCCAGGTATGTCCCCACATCTACTCAACACAATTAAATGCCACCGCAAGGTCACACACAACATGAGAGGCATGTTTACTTGTTCCTTTTCTAATGTGATCTATGCATCCTTGCCAGCAATGCCCTTCATTCTACATAGGAGAAATGGGATGATCTCTGCAGAAAAGAATTAATGGAAATAAATGTGGCATCAGGAATGGCAAAACTTGTTTCAGATCATTTCAATTTGGACTTGAAAGTTATTATTTTGAGGGGGGGCACTACAAAATGAAACTTGAAAGAGAAACAGCTGAGATAAGGTATATCCTGATGCTGGAGACCTGCTTAAAAGGACTGAACATCAATGAAGGGTTCTTACACCATTACCAAATTTGAAATGCTAGATGGATTACATAGTATATACGCCACTTGTGTTAACTAGGCTATTGCTAACTTACAGACTGAAAACTGGCATTATTCACAGCCAGATAGGTTTTACTAATAAACCATTGTCACTTTGTCGATTATCTGTATCCCCATCTGGTCATGGGGCCATGTATAAATATAACAGTCACATAGTCTCACTTTTATGTATGAGGAGGTGAATTTGATCCATGAAGCTCACATTAAAATATAGCAGTTAATCTTTAAAGTGCCAAAACATTTTATCTCTTGCGTGCTAGCGCTCTCTCTCTCTCTCTCTCTCTCTCTCTCTCTCTCTCTCTCTCTCTCTCTCTCTCACACACACACACACACAGAGAGAGAGAGAGAGAGAGAGAGAGAGAGAGAGAGAGAGAGCTTTGGTGGTGTTTTTTGTCTGAGACACATTTCAGGTAGTTTATCATGTTACCTAAGAACATGTGTCAGAATATTTTTTTTTAAATTGTATCTTCAGTATAAATTGTATCTTCAGTATAATGGGAGACCCTGCATGAGAATATATTTGAACAGCATTTGTTCATTGGAATCATGTTCTTTTCTACAAATCTTATTTCAGAGTAGTATTTGGCAATTGTAATGGTATCGCAATGGTTGATTACATCCAAAAAACTACCCTCTTAAACCTTGGCACCGTTGAATTGTATGGCTCTAATGATCCTTATAGAAGGGAACCTCGATCGCCACGTAAAAGCAGACAGCCATCTGGAGGTAAGGGAAAAAATTACTATTTCCTGCTAAAATTGTGGGTGACTCTTCCACTTTTACTGAATGTAAACTAACTAGATGTACAGATAATAATTTTTCCCTTGAATGTAACAAGGAATCCAAAGGCTATAGGTTTACTGATTATTATTCTGTAGCTCTTTTTTTCAGATTACTCATCTAGTTGTAGTACATGAGTATCTTAATTGAAACATGTTCTGACTGGTTATAATTGTCCAAAGAGATGGCATACTTCTCACACCATAACGTATATCAGTCTCCCTCATCTTGGTGCCCTTCAGGTGTCTTGGAGTTCATTTCCCATCTGCCCAAGCTGATATGATCAGGAATGCTGGATGGTCCAAAATATCTTGAGAACATCAGGTTAGAATTATTATCCATCAGTTTTCAGTTCAGCAGTAGGTTTCGTGATTTTTCCATACCAAATTCTCTGAATTAATTATTTCAGAAGATCACTCAGCATTCTCCCCCCCCCACCCGCAATTTGAATATAGTTATCTCATTATACTGCATTGAATTACTATGGCCTATATTGACACATAGGTGCAATGGATGACATCCTGTAAATATAATTGCAGGAGTGGAATCCCAAGCCTAAACGTCTGAGGGAAGGAAACATTTAGAAGTATTTCATGCTGTGTACAATAGCCCTAGTACCTCTCTGCTCTGAACAAGTTTGATATTGTAAACAGATAAAGTTTAATGTCAACAGTGTATTTCTTCCCCATTGGGTCTTAGCATTCAGCCTGGAGGCAGGTGGTGCAGTATGGCCTCTCCCAATTTGAAGAGACACTTGTTCAGCAGGCCAATGCAAAGAGGCAGTCGCGAAAGCAGCAAAATCAGGGAGCTGGACAGGGGGCAGATTCTGTTTGTCTTCTGTGTGGAAGGGATTGTCACTCTCAAATTGTCCCTCTCAGCCGTTGTTCCAAGACCTCTATTCAGAGCACATTACCGTAGTCTCTCGAGACTGAAGGATGGCTACACACATTGGGTCTCAAGTCCTTGGAATGAAGTTTTCTTCACTTGTTTCGTGCTTAGTGTGGCATACAGTGACAAATCAGGAAAAAAGGTTACTTCCTGAACTGCAAACGGTGGGCTAGAGGATGAAGAACAGAAGTGTTATTAATTCTGACTCCAATCTTGCAGGGATGATGCCTAAAAGAAGAAACTGAACTTTACAGTGCATATTTCTGTATGTTTATAAAAACAGCTGACAAAAGAAGCAGATTTTTTTATTAGTGCATAAGTGCAAGTTATTAGTGCATAAGTGCAAGTTATTAATGACATGTCATTACTACATGAACATTGCAAATGACTGTTACCCATTCTTATGGCTGTAAAATGGGTTATTGAAAGTATCTTGATTTCTGGATCCTGGTTTTAGCTATTGCTGATTCTCCAGTTTTATCTGATTTCCATATTGAATATCAGATAATTATTCATTTTAAAAGGAAAATTTTTCAGTCCCCATATGTTAGGATATTTATAACAAATATTGTTTACATTTAATTAAGCAAATGTTTAGCTAGCAAGGACAGTTTATTTCTTCATTTGTTTCTTATCAGTAGTGTTAATGGTTTCTACATATTATTCTCAGACAAGAATGCATGGAATGCAGATTAAACAATTGCTTGGCCCAGTTTTAGATTCTGTTCCAGATAGTATACTCATAACATCAAGTTCTGCAGCACATTTTCCTGTCTCCAAACATACTTTGTTGGTGTCTTTGTCTTTCCTTTCTCATTGCTTCACTAAGGCATGCTGGTTTTGGCTTCTTGCATGTGTGGCCTCTCTAGCTTATATTCAGAATCTATGAAACAACTTCGCACCTCTTATATAAGTAAGTCATCTCATAACAATGAAGTGTTTGAACATCCAGCTTGATTAGGTTATGCACATTCAGTCATCTTGAAATTTATTTTAATATTACCCTTTCTATTAAGTTTTTTATCAGTGATATATTCACAGAGATGGACTTTTTAATACTTACACAATTGTATTATGTAAGATACTACTGCTACAAAACAATGCAATCAAAATGACTTGAATCCCACCTTATCTTACTTCATGGCTACTGGAGGAAGGAGAGCTAAAGAGCAGGGTGGATTAAAATCAATGATTTTTTTAAAAACAGATTTTTTAAAATTTAAATTGGATTTTTTTATTTTAATCAATTTGTTTTAATTAAATACTTTCGGAGGAAAAATCTATCTAAATATAGTTTTCTGTTTACTTTCTGAACATTATAGTTCAGTGGTTATTCAGTATGAAATAGAGTTTAGTTATTTAGCATGAGGCTGTGTATTCATGCAATATTTACATTTTTTATAAACTAATTCAATTAATCCCAAATTATGCAAACTAAAATAGCATGCACTTTTTCACAGTAAAAATGATATAAAATAAACAAAGTTCAGGAAAATACCTTAGTTCCATTGTTCTTCTGCAAATCTATGTACAAACAATAAATGCATTACCTTAAATGCTAGGTTTTAAATTTGTTTGGAGTGAAATACATCTGTACCAGGCTCCAAGTGCGAGGAGGGAGTGGCATACAATAAAAATGAAAGTGAAACCTTCTGAGCAGCTTACAAACCTTGAGATCTATGTTAATAAACTGATGTTTAAGCAAATCCAAGAATATGTAATCTATATGTTATTGTTTTAGTTAAATAAAACAAATAAGTAGTTCTCCAAATATGAGTGATTCACCTATTAAACTGAAATCATTTCTAGCTATTTAGTAATCTAATCAGTAATTATTCTAAATACGTAATCTTCATCTGGTTGCTAATATTAAAGATAATAATTACCAGCAAGAATTAGTCTTTCCATTTAAAAATAATGATTTAAATGAGTCTTGCTGACTAGTGATTTAAATAATGATTTAAATCAAATCCATCCTGATACCAAGGTTTTTTTTCTGCCTTGTAATACTACCATGTGGTATAATGAACAGAGTGATAAAGTAGGACACAGTCCCCACTCAGTCATGGAAATTCTCTGAAGAGTGTCACTAGTAAAACCATTCCTTGTATATCTTATATACCTTAAAAGCCTTGTTAGGTCTCCTAAATCAATTTTGACTTGACAACACACTGTACATCTACTGCAGCCCAGATCCTGCACCCTGGAACCAGTTCTCTGCACTGGATGCTTTTGAGACCCTGCCTGTTTCTCGCAGTTCTAGTCCTTTATATCTTGCCAAAGGATAGCAGCCACTTGAGGATGGAAAGAAATTTTGTATAGATTAGCTATTTTGCTCAGCAGTGGTGGTAGTGCCTTTCTCATAGCAACATTACTTCTTTGTCATTGATTGCATTGTTCTGTATTTCTATCCCAAGTTGTTTTAGGGACTGAAAGCCCTGCGGTGAGTCTGTAGCAGGAGTAGGCAATGCTAGGGAATCAATGGCCCTCTAGAAGTCTCTGTTGTTCCTGACCATTGGCTATGCTGGCCATAAAGGATATTGATTTTTTACTTAAAGGCTATGGCCCATCTATAGTGTAGCATGCCTGGCAGATACCCAGGTCACAGAAACAGTATCAGTTCATGCCATGTTGGGCACAAGGAATAAGATAACATGACTAATAGCTTGTTTATACCTACTGCATTATTTCTAGATCAATGTGAAAGGAGTTCAAGTATCAATGTGAACGGAGTTCAATGTGAAAGGAGTTCAAAGTTAGGGAGGCATCAGAAAGCCGTGCTCTGCTAATGAAATAGAAGATTTCAAGCAAATCAAAAAGCTGCCCTTTGAGTGTAACTCATAACAGCCAGAATAGATGAGGTGTGATTTGCTGTTTAGACATTTCATTACTTTTCTCAAAGACTATTCAACAAATGCTTAATTTATCTTGCTCTTATTAAGCATGAAAAAGAACCAGTAAAATATCTGCTGTCCTGTTTCTGAAATTTCATCGCACAAGAAACCAAACTTGCAGCCATTAAAATTAGAACTTTGCTTTTTTTAAAAAATTGTTGAATTCTTAAGGAAATACTACATTTAGAATAGTCAGCATTTGCTTATGCTAGTCTTTGCACATAATCATGTAGTGCACACGAGCTGGGTTAAGAAGCAGTTGAACTGTGTGTTTATAGGGTGAGGCATACACAGGGTGTAAGTGTACTTCCACAAATTAGTACATAAGCTGAAGAAATGCATAAGCTATACAGTCTTTTTTTTTTCTTTCTTGCTTGCTTGTTTTATATACTGCTCATTTAGTGGAAGCACTAATCTGGACAGTTTACAGGTTAACAACTTAAAACTCCCACAAACAAAATGCATTCAACAATATGGCGATTCACAAGCATAGGACTAACATTCATACAAAAAGAAGGGGGGAAATCAACATTAAAATTAAGGTAATCTATTATCTCATTGCTGGGGGATTTTCCCCCCTCCTGGCAGAACATGTTTCTTATTACATGTATGCATCAAGTTAAAAGCACAGCCGCCTTGGGTTCTTTTTAAGAAGAGATATACATGTAATAAGAAACATATTCTGCCAGGACCACAAACAATGCAGATTGCTTTGGAAACCCTGGGTGGGCTTTGGCTTGAGCCAGACACAATGTGTGTGTGCATGCACATGTGCGCGCGCACACAGACAGAGAGAGATACTGTACATAGATTAGCCTGGAGTGACCTGCTCTGTGGTACATATTTATTTATTTATTTATTTATTTATTTACAGCCTATCTATATATATGTGTGTGTGTGTGTGTGTGTGTGTATATACATATACATATACATACACACACACATACATACTATTTATTTATTTATTTATTTATTTACAGCCTATCTATATGTGTGTGTGTGTGTGTGTGTGTATACATATACATACACACACACACACACACACATACATATATGCCCTTTATACTGTATATAGGCTGTAAGGTATATGCACCACAGAGCAGATCATCCACTCCTGGCTCAGCTTATCTCAGTTAATCTGACTCCCTCTTAATAACCCCATGCTAGGGTAAAAAAAGAGTTTTCTACCATAATTTGTGAGGAGTCCTGTATTACACTGTGCTGTATTCAGTCAGTGGCCATGCTTGAAAGCTTGCTAACATGAGGGAGAAATTTACAGAGACTAGTCAGAAGTGCTGTAGTGAGAAGTTTTCTAGGAAGCTCACTTGTACATAGAGAGGCCGTTGGCATCAGATCTTGGCATCCTGCTAAATATTTAATTTTATTACATATTTAGTGCATTGAGAAATCATTAAAGGTTGTTAAGATGTTTTATATTTACCTCTTCTCTGCATGTACATTCTGTAGGTAAGGTTAAATGTGTTATAATATTTCTTTTAAAGCACTTTTCAGTGGTTTCATACAGGTTTGGAACTAGTCATCTGAGCTGTCGTTAGGATGCATGTGACAAAAGGTGCAATTTCAAGTAATGTTGCGCAGCGGGTATATCTGTTTACAGAGATGTTACTTCAAAAATCTTCAGTGAAAAAAATGATTCTTGCAAACATACTGTTTTCATTCCCGCTTCAATCTTCACAATTATCCATTTTCTATCATTGACATTTAAACAGTAGAGCAAAAGAATAGGCAACCTAGTGCTCTGTAGATGGCTTTGGAGTGCAATTCCCATCGGCCTCAAACAGTATGAATTGTCAGAATTTATGTGGTCTTTTCTGTTTATTCCTCAGTAGAAGGAACACAGTCCAACATTAGAAATTGTCAACAACTGTTAAAAAGTTTTTTTAAGAAACTCTAAAGTGTGCTTTGCATTTTATAGCAGGTCTTTGTGACATTAATGAAAGTACAACTGTGCAAGAGGATCGTTGCAAATCACCCACCTCAGGTAATTAATTGCTTTTGTAAGTACTTTTAAAACCTGAAAAGAGTGTAAGATTTTGTGCTCTAGTGGTACTTCTAGTATACTTCTAAACCTAACTGTGATGTTGTGTATGCACAATTCAAACTACATGAACCTATGGCCAGAATCCTATTACCAATTTATGTTTGTATAAGAAATATCATGTTTGTTATGCCAACAAATTGCTGCTCATTAATGAAGTGCCCTGGAATGAAACCAGCACCTTGTTAACAAGCACCAATCTGCCATCATGACTTCTGTGATTTCCTGTCTGTAAGCGTAAATCAGCAATAGGACTCTGGCCAATATTTTGCTCTTGGCTTACAATCTGTCTCAAATATCAGTGCCACTCATTTATCCATTCCATGTTCATCATCATTTATTGTTTATAATGCTTAGAGAACATTGCCACTTGAAATATTGTATATGAGGGGAAAGTAGTTTAATTCCTTTGATCTGTCAATTTCAAGAAGAGATCATTTACTTCAGAAACAGTCATGCTGTTATCTCCAGCCACATGAACTTTGAGTTAATCAAGCTGGGTATTTTGTAAATCCTACAAGTAAAACCTGTTCTTGATTCTAGTTAGCCCTAGTTGATCTATCAAGAATCATGTCAAACACTATAGTTTACAAATGAGCCTGATGGCAACCCCATTCCAAAGTCCTGTTGATAATGCAATGTCCCTAAAAGAACATCTTATTTCTGTAGAGCCAGAAGTCGAGATTTTGATTTCCTCCTCTAACTCCTTAACCGGGGCTAGACTTGATTATACATAGGGTCCCTTCCAGCTCTGCCGTTCTAAGATGATGATAATTGTAGTATAAAATGTACAGATGGGAATAATATTAGAAGGAAGAAGAGAAAGGGTGAAACTGTCGCTGGAGTTCATAATTTCTTGGTTCATAATAGGAAATGTTGACTTACTATATGACCTCTTCACTAGTTCAAATGTTCGTTAAAATTAACAAAAACTCATTAACTTATCCGATTATTCCCAATGGTGGGAGCAGTTGGTGCAAGAATAGAGGAGAGACATTCTTACTCTAACTCCAACTTATCTGCGCCTGAACAAGTGGTAGCAGTGTAGAATCTAGTGAGAAAGTTTGTATGTTCTGTGTGTTCACAATGTGTATGGAAGGAATTGGGTAAAACTTTGCCCTTGACAATGTGATTTGAAGGAAATTTAGCCATTTGCTGATTTTGAGAATTGGGTGAAGGGTATGGAAAGCCATAATTTGCTAACAGCCCAACTACAGCTCTAATCTGGGATGGAAAGACAAAATCACTAAGTATTTTTAGATAGAGAAGGTTGAACTTTACACTAACACTTGCATCAGGAATTAATCTTCCGAAAGGTAAGTAAAATTTTTTATTTCCAAATAATTTTAAGTAATTCATCTTTTCAGTTCACTTTAAAATAAAGAATACCAGAAAGCTTTACTGTGTGTTCCTGTTTTATCTTGGTGATATATAAGTCATAACAGTGTTTGTGATTGGTAGCAAAATTGATAATTTCAACATTAGTCATTATAAACTCTCTTACGGACATTAAAAGATCTTATTTCCTTGTCATAAGAACTACCTGTGCAGCACCAGCCTGTAAATGCATTCAGTTGTCAGTATTGAGCAAGCAGATGTCTCTGGGAAGCCATTCCCTGTTCTTTATCTCCAGTATAGAGTGATAAGAGGTATACTACCTCTGTACATAGTGGATGCAGTATGACTTAACTGGAAAAATTGACATACAGTTTTAGTTAATGTGTTTAGAACTTGCAAACTGTCTAATCTATTCCTGCCAACGCTCCTGTTTTTTCACCATTAGATAGCACATGAGACTGGGGAAATTAGCTGTGAAGAATACTCAGTCCCTTCACCCTTGTGCCCATGTTTTCATTCTTTTTACTAAAGTAAACACAAACTGGCATTCCTGATACCCATTTTAATTTCAGATGAAATGTTAAAACTTAAGAAGCTGCCTTATACCAAGTCAGACTGCTGGTCCATCTTGCCTAGTATTATCAATTCTGACTGGCAATGGCTTTGTAGGATTTCAGACAGAATTCCTTCCTAGCACTGGTATTGCCTGGTGCTCTCACATCCAATTTCTAATCACGTTCTTTACCATCTTAGCTTCCAAAATGAGATGAAATCTGCTACAGTATTTTTTATCTCATTTTGTCTTGGCAGTTTGTCATTAACCAAGGAAACTTTCAATGGAACCAAAAAGACCATACTTTTGACCTTAATTCCTTTTCCTTCTGAATTAATTTGACAGCACAAGCAATGCAATAAATTTAATAAAAATGAGCATTATATTTGTTGTTAGCCTATTAACTTTTCTGTAAATCGGATTAATGTAAGTTATCTTGCCAAAAACTTTTTTCTCTTCAGTTACCATGAATAAACATATACACTCTGTGCTTTCATTTAGCTGTATGACCTTTCTTTTACTAGAAAACTGTGGTACATTATAATTCTGCATTATAAGCCCTATGTGATGCAACTGAGACATGGAGAGTCACGGCTCTATCTATCTGTAAAGCAAGACAAATGTCTGTATGCAGATTGAGAGCATCAGGATAGCATAGTTGATTGCCTATACAAAAACCATTTTATACAAATGCAGACTAGGACTGTATGTTCCTTCTTAAATTTGTCACTGTTTTGTATGGTATTTTGTGCAAATATCCATTTGTATGTCCCTTTCATTCTTGTCTTCACTCATGTAGGTTCTGGTTCTCCCAACAATTCTGATGATGATCAAAAAATGAATAATTTTATAGAAAAGGGTATAGTATTTTTTTTATTTTTAAGCGTATTATCATTCTTTTTATTAGCTCATATTTTTTAGTAAATTGACATTTTGTATCAAAATATTATTTGCAGTGAAGACCAAAGGCAGAAAGTTTTCCAAGATGGTAGCCAGTGATATAGGTAGGAACTAGAAAAACTATCCTTTGCTCCTTACCTGGTAGCTTACTCTGTGCAGATCTTAACTGTGCAGCAAAGTGAAGCAAGTTGCATTATTTATTTATTTATTTAATATTGCTCTAACCATAAATGGTGTTCCTTTGGGATGCTTCTTTTCCAATATATGGTGCTTAATGATTAACACAATTTAAGATACTGGGTTCTTAATTTCCTCAGTTTGTACTTGCATATCTGTCTACAAAGGTTTTGGTATCTATTGAAAAAATGGAAGGGTTCAATCCTAAAAGCAATGATGCATACATAATTTTAACATTGATGTTAATGTCAGTGTTTAATGAATGTTTCAGGTTATCTTGAAATGAGTGATAAGATAATGTTTTCAAATTTTTAGGCAATAAATAAAAACATTTTTATTCCTGTATTTTGGAAATTAGTATATAACTGTCTTTGTATTGCTAAGCTATGCTAAGTGAGAGGAAGTTGGTAATTATTTACTAAGTTTGGAATACATGCATAAAGTGGATTGAACCCTTCTGTTAAAATAATGGTAAATTATATATTAACATATGGTATAGTAAAGAATACCTTCTTTCTGAGACATGATTACTCTTCTCTCTTTATGTTAAAACATAGTATTTGTTTAATATATTTGTCTGTTTAAATGCAGTCCTATACCACTTACAACTATGAATAAGTCTGCTGTTTATGAATCACTGTTTAATGGTTTATTTATAGGAAATTTTACGAATTATGGTTAGGAATGTCATGTACATTGAAAGCAATGACATATCTCCCTTCTAAATTTGCATGTTCACAGCATGATGTCTAATAAATTGTTATTTTATTGATTTTATATCTTCTTTAATACCCCCCCATTTACCATTGTGTAAGGAAAGTTTAGTTGTAAATGTTACCAAAAGTGGCTAAAATCATGTTGCAGAGCTCCATGTTCACAAAATGACGATGTCAGCAAATTTGGTGATTTTGGGGTGCAGGTGACTTCATCACATTATGTAATGAATCACATGACCGCCCCAAAATTGCCTTTAATCTGTAGAAGTTTGCTGTTGATGATGATATCATCGCCTTTCCACATGCAATACAGCAGAACAGGATTTCATTCTATATGACAAAAGAAATGTGGAATCAAAATGCAATAATTCTTTTCTTGCATTTCAGCTTTTCTAACCTTCTGAACCTGTTAGGCAGCTCAGGCTGAAATTATTGTAATACAACAGGGTTTTTTTGAAGAACTTTTAATTTAAGTTAATATTTCTGTGCTACCTTTCTCAAATAAAGGGATTAAATGTGGTTCACAATCATTAAAATATAAGTAAAATTAAAAGCTCAATAAATTATTCAATTAAAAACTATTATACAATTGTATAAAAATAAGTCATGTAAAAAATTAACATTAAAAGCAGTTAAAAATGCAGTAAGCCAGACCTCAGCTTTAATACCAAGTGTAGTTTTAAAAACCTGTTACATGCTATAAGAAGAATAAGAGGGAGGGGACCAACCTATTCTCCTAAGGGAAGGCATTCCACAGCTTGGGAGAAGCCACAAATAAGGGCCTTTCTTGCATTCCCAAATGTATCTGTGAGGACAGTGAAGAAGAAGGCCTCTTTGAAGATCTTAGGAGCCAAGAAGGCTCATATGGGGACACACAGTCCTTCAAATATTCTGAACCCTAGCCCTATAGGGCTTTATAGGTCATAACCAGCTCTTTGAATTGGGCCAGGAAACGGACCAGCAGCCAGTGAAGCTGTTGTTGCAAGAGAATTGTAGCTATCTGTAACCAACCCTGGTCAGCAGGTTGGCTACAGCATTTTGAATCAGCTGAAGTTACCAAACTGTCTTCAAAGGGAGTCCTGTTTAGGACATGTCAAAGTAATCCAAATGAGATGTTACTGAGACATAGGACATAGTCAAATTAGACATCTCAAGTGATGCCTGTGTACCAGCTTTAAGTGTGCAGAGGAACTCCTGGCCATTGCACAAACCTGAGCACCCAGGCTCAGGAGGGACTCCAGGATTCCAAGCTATGAGCCTGAGTTTCCAAGGGTAGTGTAACTCCATCCAGCACAAGATTCATCCCTATTGTCTGACCAGGAGCAAGTCTGTCTTGTTTGGATTACATTTCAGTCTGTTAGCTCTCATATAGTCTGTCACCAATGCCAGACACTGGTTTAAAACAGGAACAGCTTCCTTGGAGTTGGAATGGAGAGACCGAATTGAGTGTCATCTAAATATTTTATCAACAAGAAACACAAAATAAAACAAAGGCAAAAATAAGGAAGACAAAAATGTTGTGATGCCTTAAAGACTAACTGCTGTATTTTAATGTGAGCTTTCATGGAACAAGTCTACTTCTTCAGAATGAGAATATAGATACTACGTGACAAACCATTCATACATGGCTCTAAGATAAAGAGATGGTGTTGGTTGTTTGATTCAAGTTGTGGCATTTCACACCTAGTGATGATTTCAGTTCTCTGTTTGGTATGCAGTTCTTTTCTTTGGAAACATTGTTCTGTAAACAACAACAATGCCTATTGGTTAAAAGAAACCCAGACTATAGAAATAACAGCAGAAACAAAATATAGTAATGAGTTTCTGACTTTACCTTTGAAGTTTATTCTATAAGGGTGACTGGGAAAGAACCTAGCTATGGAAAATTACATCATGATTATTGTAGTAGTTCACATTTGGTAGTGGCTTAAGAATCTTTGACTTATACAGTATTTAATTCATTGAGATGGACATAGAGCATATGTACAGTACATATTTTGTCTCAGATGTTTCTGTCTGGATTCTTACTCTGTAAGTTTTCTTCTCCAGAATAATAACTTTCAAATCCTGTGAAGAGTGGGTGTCCTGGTAGACAGAAATGATTTGAAACATGTTTCTCTGTATTTCCATTCCTGATGTCCTATTTAGGTCCATTAATTCTTTTGCATAGAATACACAGAAAGCTATTTTGAAACTTTTCAAACTATGAAGAGGCATTCACTGCTCCTTTTACCCAGTTCCCCTCTGGCTGCTTTTATGAACTACAAAGGACAAGGATTTGGCACACATGATGGCCATTACCTCACCAAAGATCCTGTCCACACCTTAGATTCAAACTTATCATTTAATGTGGAACAAGCAGTGAACAAAATTACATCCACAGGGTTGCATCAATGACAGTATCCAGTTCAGAATTGATCTGAGTGACTTTGTGTGAGGCCTGTCTCCCCCGCTTCTGGCAGAGCCAATGATGTTGAGGATCTCCCAGCAATAACTTCACTTAGTCCAAGTTTCTTGGAATAGTGCTTTTTATTAACCGGCCTCAGTTTCCTTCACTGAAGCCACTAGAGTCCCAGTGCTAGGGAGCTGTGGGAACAAGCAGAATCTGGGTTTGGATCCCTTCAAGAAAGGCTGGTAGAAGCAACTGGTGGTGAGTGCTAACTGCTCCCCTGCTCTTTGAGGAACTTCCTTCTTCCCTCGTGCTGGCATTTGCATTGACAATGATGCAGCTGGATTGGAGTAGATGCTACAGTACCAGTTGGGCATCTCAGGTTGATGGAGCTTGAACCTTCTCCAGGGTGTGTGTGATAATAATCCCTCTTCCTTGACTTCAGCCCTTTATATCAATGAAGCAACTGGTCACCTCTTCGCAGGCACCACCCCCAGGGCACCTGCCACCCTGCCTGTCATGGAGAACAAGGGTTCTGCCTCTTCAGCTGTTGAGTCCCAGGTTTCTTCCTTCTCTGTCAACAAATGTTCTGATTATTATAAGGTTTTAGATGTGCCCTATGTACTGTGTTACTCATAATACTGTTTTATGGTAACACTCATTGTCATGCATATTCAAATAATGCCTCATGCAAACTAAATGGCCCTTTCTTTATTCATATAGTTACTTCATAGGATACTCATTGGCAGATGCTATTTATTTTCTTCCCTGGGGGTGTGGGAGGGTGAACTACAGAAGACTGATTAGGGAATCAACATTTAGGTCCCACACCCTGCTGGGGGCCACACCAGCACCCGGACCGTCAAGATTCCTAACACAAAATTGCAGCTTCTTGCAGCCTACAGAAGAAAAAATATGCAAATTAACACTGGGAGGCTTCAAGCAACCAATAGCCCATGGTTTGCCCATCCTTTCTTTACCTACGTAGTGCTATAATTGTACAGTGAGTTCAGGGCAAATATCTGGCCTACTTAAGAAAAGAATTTAAAAGCAGCTGAATGTTCAATACAGCTGTAATTAAGAGTGTCTCTGCATTTATCTGTCCAGTTAAACACAGTTTAATTGGTTAGCATCCCCCCCATGCACAAACCAAAATTTTAGCTACAAAAGACTGAATTCTACTTCATTGAATTATCAGACAAGAGTGTCCTACTCAGGACTGTGATGGCTTATAGTACAGATGGCCTAAGAAATACAAAGACTGAATTATACAATTATTCCTTTTAAAATATATACCTCACCTTATTCAATAGGGTCAGCTAAATGGTTTAACAGAAATATCAAAAAAGCAGATGAAGTAAACAGCAGAAAATAAATCCGCAGCAGTAAACTGCTACTGCTAACAGAAATAACAGTCCATTAACCCTTATGCCCTCTGACATGAAGACATGTTAACATGTCCTGATTCTAGCAGTGGAGTGAGGCAGGGAAAATCTATTTCTGGAGTATGTTTTTGGTGGTAATACCTGACCTGTAAAGGATTGTTAGGCAAGACACAATAAGCTGAATGAGCGGCTTTCCTACTGATTCTTGGTGCTAAGCCAGAAGATCTATATATATATATAGCTTACATTTTGTAATCTAATTTGATGTAGGTGAAGAGCTGTGCTTTATTTAATGCTTCACAAGTTTTGCAGATCTGGGGGAAAGAAAGCAAAAAGACAAGAGATGCAACCTGGATTGTTTTAACTTTATGTATATGAGTATGGCTTACAAATTTCATGTGGGATCCATAATATTTGTTAACATTACTGCACATTTTCAGTGCATAAAGTTTAAACCACCTTGCTTTTAGGTGTGCTATGCAAGTGGGATGGCAGTTCACATTTCCTTTTCTATTTTGTGTAATATGTACATTTGTCATACCTATTGGTAGGTATTTTAAATTTATATTGGTTTTCGATAAATTCAGTACCAGATTCTCTGGGTTTTTTTCTCCTAGCTGGGTCCCCAGAAAGTGCTGTAGTTAGCTAAGCATGAGGAGCCCACAAACTATGAGGGAAGTATGCTGGCTCCAACTCACCCTGTTGCTTTTAGTACGCAAAAACAGCAGTCAGAAGTATGTGCAGTTACTGTTTCTATGTAGTTTCCTTATGCGAGTCAGAACTCCAGTTTCTATTTATGGATCATGTGGCTATACAGTTAGAATGATCTTCCTCTCTTCACACTGTTGTTTTTAGATGTTAAAAGCAATAATGGAGTGCATGTGACCACTGTAACTTCCTCATTACATGTGGGTGCCATGTACTTAGCTAATAAATGAATAGGTCTAAGGTGATTCGGGCATGGTGAGTAGTTGGTAGTATCTTAACACCATTTGTTAATAAAACAAGTTTCCTTTGTAATTTGATGTTACCTGGAGATTGAAGCATGACAAGCTCTTTCTCGGGGTGTGTGTGTGTGTGCAGAACATGTGTCCTTAATACTTTAGGCCATGCTTCTAACTTCTGACGCCTCATAGATTATGACTTGTATGCCCCTTACATCCATGTTTGAAAATCTGATAATGTCTGGTGTGAAGTGGATTTTTTTTAATTGGGGGTAGATCCAGGTGTTCCAGTACTGAGTTTACTATACAGTAGTTGCTAATGTGCAGATTTCTAATGTGCACTCAAATTTTACTTTTCCTTTATAAATGGTGTGGGTCTGTAATTTCCTTGTATGTGACCTGTCACTGTTATCCATGACTACACCGTAATCTGGGTGGATGCAAATTAATTTCAAAGTGGGGAAAAACATATGCATCTACACACACACAATTAAACACAAATGTTCTCTAACTTACATACATTTTTCTTATGGATTAATTTATGGGGAAAATTTAAAGGGAAAATATTGAAGTATATGTTCACTCTTCACAGATGATATTTTCAATTAGTAACACTAAAATAAAAATAAGTAAACCAAAGCATAATTTTGCACCACATCAAATAAATGGAACTTTTAAAAATCAGTCTGCAACAAACCTAAATAAAGCATATAAACTAAAATAGAAAGCAGCAGCAACTCAGAACCCACACTCTTCCCACTGCCCAGAAATAAAGTCCTAAACAGAATTATGTTGGCATGTCTCGTGAAAGAGACGACAGTAAGACACGTTTCTTAGAAGAGAGTTCTGATAACCTAAACAGCACCAATAATGAGGTGTCCCTAGTACCTGCTTTCCTCATCTAGTTACAAGGCCTCTAATGAAGACGAGAGCATGCAGGCCAGTGCAAATGTGAACTACCGTAGCAGCCACCTTTTTTCCTGCCACAACACAACACATTTTGTTTAGAATATTTATATATTGCTTTTCAAGAAGTTCTAAAAAGCTTAGTTACCACAAGATGGTTTATAACATGTAAGAATGATTTACATTCCCAGAGAGAGGGTTCCACATTAACATTACTTTTGAGCTGTATTTATGGTATGACCATTCTTCCTTTGATAATGGTGTCAAAGGAAGCATGAACATTCTGCAAAAAGAGGGGAGGGGGCTCTGTCCTTCAAATAGTCTTTTCCTTCTTTTCCACAGTCATGCTTAATGAAATTGCCCATCTCCATCACCAGTGATTTTGGCTATCCTGACTCTAACATAGAGGCCAAGAGCAACTGTTCCCCACAAGCATAATTAATATATTTGTTTGTTATACTGGTTTGCTCCAACTCAACATAGGAATAATTGTTCATGTTTTGTACCTTTACACGTTGTATGCTATTTTCCCTTCAGTTTCACCTTTTTGGTAGTTTTAACCTCCAGCAGTTTTCTATGCCATATCAGTATTTCAATGTGTAAGAAACACAATTTAGCAAGGATTCTTAAGTGACCTTGGGCCTGTGTTGATTTTTGTGACTATTTTTGTTAGTACATGGTTAGTTTGTGGGGGGAGGAACGATACAAAATATTTCATCTAATTCACTTTTATAAAGACAGTAGAGAATGTAGAATCTCACATACTACTTTTACTGATCATAACTCCAAAGACAGTAACTATCATATTCACATTGCACACTTTAAATTAAAAATTAGCCTAAAATATGTATAAATTTGTTTACCTTCCTTGCTTAAGAGTACTGTATATGAATTTATAATCTGGAAACTGACAGTTTTAATTCTTTCATACTCTTTATTTTTTAAATGTTATCATTCTAGCTTTATTATAAAACTATACATTATTTTTCAGCAAAGATGTCTAGAAAATTAAGCTTACCAACTGAACTGAAACCTGAGTTAGGTAAGTATCTGTTCAAAGCCTGTATTAATGGTGTTATACTCTTTGAAAAGGCTATGAGCAAAAAAAAAAAATACATACATACACATCTCACCCACATGGAGCTTTAGCCTCTAATCAGGAGGAAGTCTCCATTTCTTATTTTTTTGTTCCAAGATTTGTCAATAAGCAATGTATTTTTGCAAAACATTTCCCTGTTCTGCTTGGAACTACTTTTATGTTCTTCTTTAAAAACTATGAAAGTCCTATAATTTTATTTATAAATTTAAAATGTTTTAATTTGTTACCTAAGCATTACTACCTATTAGGACATTATATATTAAACAAAAATAATATAAGAAAATCCTGCATTGCTAGTTTGAAGTTATTGTGATGTAGTGGTTAGAGTGTCAGATTAGGGCTGAGATGATCCAGGTCCAAATCCATATTCCACCATGATGAAATCCATTGGATCTCTCAGCTTACCATCCTTATTAAGATAAAAGAAAGGCCAGGGAAAGAGTAAGGTAAACGGTCTTCAGCTTTTTGGTTAAAAAGTGAGACAAGCATGCAGTAAATAAATAAAATACATAAGTAGGGCTGCTGCTCAAGTTAAATAAATACTTTAAAATCTGTTAAATGAGAGGAACCTTAATTAAAATATCATGCATATTCAGTTAACAACTTACTGAAAAATATACACTTTTCTTTGTTGTCAGAGTGGTGTTTTGTTGAATTTATGTATACACTATTTGAGAAGCTTAGGCATGGATACAAGCAGCTGCCTTTGAACCTACCATAAGTTTCAAAGACAGTTAAATTTTCTCGTAGGCAATAAATAATACTTCTTAAGAAGCCATCTGTACAGAATGCTTAGCTTATGGTTCACATTCTTGTTCTAATATCAAAGCCCCTGGTTTTAAGATCCATGGGTGTCTAGTCTAATAGATTTTTGTTTAATGTACAGTTCCTTTGATCTTGCTTAAACTACCATCATCTGAATCTAACTCTGTATGTTCCTATTAGTAGGATAGTGAAGAACTGAATCGATTTTAAAATCTATCTGTATGCTTTTTAGTCAAGCAAATTGTTTTCTTCAACTGTTCATCAGCAAATTTGCATGTTAGTTGAAACATCCAATTTGCTTATAAAATGAGAGACTGTTTTATTCTCATCTTGTAAGGCAAACTTAGGAAACTAAAAGTAAGGCAGAATTCAGAAACTCTCATCTTCTAGTTCTTGTGAGTAATACAGCTTCCAATTAGTTTGCCTTGTTCTTAAGTTACATCTTGAATGTTCAATATTTCTTCATTCTTCTTTTACTGATTTTTTCTTTTTTTCTTCCTTTTTACAAAAATCAGCACTAAATAGAAAAAACACTAAGTGTTGAGATGATCTGATTTGAAATTCTAATTTTAGAACTCAGTTTTAAAGAAAATATCCTTGTGAAGAGGGACACTACAGCTAATTGTGGGATTTAATGTGTCAAAAACAAATTGTTCATATTTTTCAGTGCATGCTACATCAGAACAATCTCTTTGTATAAACTGACATCTGTCAAAACATCCAAGAGTAGTTCTTACTCTTGTTCAGAATGCTCTCACTACCCCATATGGAAAGAATCCCATGTAACTCCTTCTTGCTCCCTTAGCATAGAATGTTGGATACATGGAACAAGATGGCTTAATTTTGAAGGCTTACTAATATTGTCCCATCACACAGTTTGAGAATTTATCTGTTTACAAAGCTGAGAAATGTTCTGTTATTTTCATAGCAATATTCAGCCTTCTACCTACTGATTAAAGCTACACTTCTGAAAAAACATTGGCTGATATCGTCTTGCATACCACTTCTGGCACAGTGGGAGTGACAACACTACCAATAACAGATTGCTGCTAATGAAAGGGTTCCTTTTTTATTTCAGAGTTCACATGACTCATGCAGTCTTGCCAGTGTCTTCCTATGCCAGTGGAGCAATAGAATTAGCATCAGTTAAAAACATCATCAGCAAACTTTGATGGGACAGATAGATCTTGATGAAATTAATAAAAATAACATGGTGTATACGTCACATGACCTCCCTAGACAGTGTCCTTCACAATTGCAGTGCCGCTGCAGAAAAGGCCCTGCAGTTGTTCTCAGACACTGTTAACATGTTTTGAACCATACACTACAGATATGGAAAATCAAGTACAGGAATTGAATATGTTCTGTAGCCTCTGAATGAATCTCATATAGATTAAATCAGTACATCTAAAAGAAAGGTTCCAAGGCTTGTAGATTAGCCATGGGTCTTGCAGATACATTGCCATGTGAATCACTTCAGAATATGTTCAAGTTGTGTTACCTAGATAAATATTGCCCATGCTCTACCACTATCACTTTTCCCATGTTCCCATCTTGAAATAAAGAAGCAGACATATTGAGAAGAAACTGTAGGGAAGTTGGGACATGAAGAATTTTTCTCCTGAGAGCATAACTTGATGGTGCTTTGTTTTGTACTGTTTTGAATATTTTATCAATCTTTATGACTAAAAAGTAGTAGAAAAATGCATTAACTTAAATTCTCTTGATTCTCTTGTATGAGTGAATTGATACATTGTATAAAACCTGTTACTTGAACACAGCAACGTTTTCTCCTTTCAGAAATCATAAGTGTACTGTGATCTGAAACTTGGTCTATACTGGGAGCCAGTTCTTGTGGTCATGGCAGAATATCTGGTTTGCTGCTGTCCCTGTATTTGATAGGGAGCTGCAGTGAGTGTTGGCTCTCTGTTGACCATCTGTATATTCAAACACATCTCCCCCATTCACTCACTGTCTTTAAATGTTGAGTCTGAAAGTTTAACGTGTTCATCTAAAAATTTAGTGTTTGAAATGGACCTAAGATTACTTCAAATGAATATTTAGAAATGCAGTACATGACACTATTTAACTTATTTTGTGAAGTATGAAATATAGGGTAGAATGCTATTTTTCACTGAATTTACTTAATGTAAAATTTTCAGATGTTAGAGACAACTCCTTCAGCCGATCCAGGAGTTCTAGTGTAACAAGCATTGATAAAGAATCTCGAGAAGCAATCTCAGCTCTTCATTTCTGTGAGACTTTCACACGGAAAGCTGATACAGCACCTTCACCATGCTTATGGGTTGGAACAACGTTGGGCACAGTATTAGTCATTGCATTAAATTTACCCCCAGGAGGAGAACAAAGACTACTTCAGCCAGTAATTGTATCTCCCAGTGGTATGTATTTGACAAGAAACAAAGAGCTAAGAAAGTAATAGATTTGTGACAACAATATGTGAACATTACTGTACGTTTGTAATTCTCACCATTTTTGTATGTTGTGAAATATATGGTGATGATTATGTAATTGTTTTATCATACGTTTATTACTATACAGTACTAGTCACTGTTACGATCACAAGGCTCATTTGTGTAGACATAGTTAAGAAGTATAACTATTAAAAGGAACATAATATAATGGGCTAGAAAAATATTGTCCAGAATCCTGTTGGTGTCATGCAGCATAAACCAAAAACTGCACAGTGAGCATGAGCTTACCAGCTGTCCCCTGTGTACTCAGACAGCTTATACTTCACATTTTACAAATTTGTTGCATTCTCAGTGAGGTACAAAGGGGCATGTAGATAGATAGCAACATGTGAAAACCAACTTGCAGAACTGCCCTTACTCTGTGGAGTTTTGCTATAGGATTTTAGCCATTGCATTCCACAGCAACCAATATACAAAGCCATACATTTTTTATGCACGGCTCTGAATTCATAAAGATTATTTTCCCTATTAGAAAAGTAGGTATGATATGGGCAGATGCTGTGGACACTAAAACAGGAAAGAGCAGAAATAGTCATAAAGTAGATATACTGAGGAGCATAAGAACCAGTCTTTTAAAAATGTTGTTTCCTTTCAAAGGCTCAAATTGGTAGGAATTGTAATCTATACAGCTATGCAGCCGTCATTTTGCCAATTTTATTGATTTCAGCGAGAATCAAAAGAAGATAAAATTATCACATGATCCAAAGGGAAATTTCAACTTTTATACAATAGTTTCGCATATTTTTCAATAATATGACTAGAAAGCTAAAGTTGTTCTGTAGCTATGTGCATCAATGAAATTTTAACAGTCTCATTCTTAGTAGATTTCAATATTCATTCATTTTTTTATTCATTTCACTTCATTTCATTTATATTAGCACTGCTCTTTGATTAAATTAGTGCTCTATTTAGCACTTTAAACCAGAACTCTGTGTGGCCCTGCACAATCCACGCCTTCTCTATTTCAAGACAATATTTAGACTGCTGAATATTTGGCACTCCCGTTCAAACCAAACTACAAAGTGAGGATTCACCATATTAAATCATAGACAGGCAGGTTTTCAAGTTTGGGGGAAAGCCACCTCCCAGACTTTGTCGTCTTCATTTTTGTTTCCTTTTTCCAGTCTGCTGCTCATGGGTGTCTCATCGTGATAGTCCAGAGATAGTATCAGAAGTGGAAGGGCTTAGCTATTGTTGCAGCAGAAAGTTTGCTTTGACTAACAGTAGGCAGAATACCCCCAACACTGAGCAAGAGGTGGATGGAAGGAAGAAATCTTGAAAACTATAAAGGTAATAATGAAAAGAGGAAAGACAGGCCCTACTGTGCTAAAACTGATTAAAGACTGAACACTCAAAGCCTAAACAAGAAAGCAAGCACTCAGCATAGTGAAAAAAGATTCCATTCTAAATCGGAATGAAACTAAAGAAGCTGCCCTAATGTAGCATGCAAGGCAATATAAAGACCACCTGATCTTGTTCAGGGACTCTACCTACACTTTCTGAGATTGTAGCATGTAAGGTGGTCCTTTGTGGTGAAACTGTCACTCAACAAAACTTGTCTTCTTTCCCTTTTCCTCATAGCACCCTATTTCAGTGTCTGCCTCATATGGTGTTCTATTTCCTTTAGCCTGCTTTTCAGCAGGTTTTTAAACAATTTCATCCTTTAAGTGACAGATTTTTCCATGGTGGTCCCAATCTATTATAGGATCTATTTGGGGCTATTTCCCTCTGTTGGCAGAGATTGTACAGATTGTTATATGTTTGTCCTTCCATGTAAAAAGTATTTTATAGTAGACAGAAAGTGCTGTTTTCTTTGCAAGCATTATGGCCTTTGTATCTAGCATTGAAATTTGAGGCTTCATCCAATTATTTGATATCCAAGTTTTTTTTCCCCAGACCAGTGCAAGGAGTCGGGCAAGGATTTCTAAAACGTCTGGCCTCTATTTTTCCGGTTTTACCTGAATTAATACTTCATTCCTCTAACCAATCATAAAGCTATTATTTTAATTTTTCTGTAACAAGGGCTAAAAAGATCAGAGATGCTTGAATCTTTGAGGGAATTGTGTTCAAACTTTGAAGTAGATTTTTATAAAATCTAGAAATGAATTATAAATACCACTTTGAATGGATTCTTCAGTTTTATGCTTGCTTACAATAATAAGAAATTATGTTATATGCACCTTTTTAAAACTCCACGTCCCTTCAGGATGTGTTATTGGAATCAGAAATCTTAATGCTTTGCTTAACTGGAATTTCTTTAAGCACAAGCTGAAATGCACTTTGAATAGTTACAGAATACATTTGGCTGAATTTTTTTACTAGTTACATTTTTTACAGAGATTTTAGTACGGTTGTTGAATTCTGTATTTTAGGAACTATTCTGAGGCTTAAAGGAGCAATCTTGAGAATGGCTTTTTTGGACACCACAGGATCATTAGTTCCACCAGCATATGAAACCTGGAGAGAACCCAATGTTCCTGAAGACAAGGATGAAAAGGATAAATTGAAAAAACGCCGACCTGTCTCAGTATCTCCTTCATCCTCTCAGGAAATCAGTGAAAACCAATATGCAGTGATATGTTCAGAAAAGCAAGCAAAAGTGATTTCACTGCCCTCACAAAACTGTACTTATAAGCAGAATATAACAGAGACTTCATTTGTCCTACGTGGAGATATAGTGGCACTGAGTAACAGTATCTGTCTTGCTTGTTTCTGTGCCAATGGACATATAATGACTTTTAGGTAAGTCATGAAATGCTAATAAGAAGAAATTATATTATGTATGCATTCAGGGATGATAAACCAACTATTTAAGAAAAATATATTGGAAAGAGTTATGGATAAATATTATGGTAATTTAATATAAGCACATAGATATTTAAACAAAACTATAGTTAGCATTTTATTGTATTTTTCCTTTTTCTCTGCTCTCTATTACTTTGACTTTGTTTTTTGCTGTACTCATAATCTGCCAGTAGATAGGAGAGCAGGGTCCCCTTCAGCTCACACTGAAAATTGAAAAGTGATGAGGAAGAAATGCAACCATATGGTACACTGCCTCATCTAAAACCTATATGCTAGATCAATTGTAAACTAGGTGAACCTGTAATTTACATAGTTACATGGCTTAGCACAATTCTTGAATGCAAATAAAAACTTGTGAACATTAATTTTTGCAGTTTTTTCACTAGTTGCACACACACACACACTTTTTAATGCTTAGCTATGTAGTAGAGCTATGCTGAACACTCTCTAGAGCTACTTAAAATGATGACATTCTGGATTATGCCTTACTATATTATCAAGCTATGTGTACACTAACTGTAAACAGTATTTTTAGATGTCAAAGATATATGCATGCTGTGTTTTTTAACTACTAATCTGCTTGCCTTTTCATCTGCTAGTGTGCCTTCTTAGGTAAAGCAACAGCCATAATTGTAGTTTGTTAGTAAAGACATTACATCACAGCATAAAGGTGCCACAAAAATAATCTGCTTTCTCATCTGCAGTCCTCTGCATCTTCAGAACATATCTTTAAAGGGTCAGGGGAATGTCCCAAACAGTTTAGGCTGAGTTGTTGAAGGAGAATCATTCAAAACCAGATGGAGGGATCCTGCATCAGCAAACTGAATATTATCTACAAACTGCTCCTAGTGTTAGATCTCCCTACCTTGAGTTTAATGATTCCCTTCTTCCACTACAGCTTCTTATCACAGGGCCCATACAGTTCTGAAGATGTATCCAGGCCTCCAGAGAGACTCAGGAGGGAGACTGTGGCATTCCACTTGTTACAGTGTTAGATCACACTGTTATTTGCAAGCCTGGTTTAAAGAACAGTTTAGTGGTTGTTACTTGTCAATCAATTGTAGATCATGGGTTGTCAATTTAAATGTCACATTATTCATGCTTAAGCATCTTGAACTGTAGTTTGTCATGATGCCTGATGACGACATCTTCTTGATGATGCTTATTGGCATCAGTTTAAGCTGTCATAAAATAGAATGCTGAAAATGTTATGCTGACCTTTCCCCCAGTCCCTTTTTTAATGGTATGTCATTTATACGGTACTACATTATTCTAATCAAGGGAATATCACTTTTTTTTTTTTTACAATGACCAGGAACCACAAAATTTGTTTGTTTGGCTTTTACCCCACCCATCTAGATTCTAAACAAATCTACTCTGGGCAGCTTACAGTCCGAGCAATAAAACCAAGAATTAAAATCAGACTCCTTCACCAGCACCTATTTAAAAAATAGGAATTGTAGAAGGAGAATTCCAGGAAAATTCAGCCCTTTCTGGCAGCCACTGTTGTCATTGCTTTTGGGAGTTGCATAGGCCTACATGCTTCTGTTCTGTTTGTTTTGTGTCTTTAGAAGAAGTAAATTTTACTACACTGTAAGTGGTTTTAAAAGATGGATGAAACATTATTTTGTTTCAATAATTTTTAACTTCTGTTCTTTCAAGTTTGCCAAGTTTAAGGCCTCTGCTAGATGTATATTACTTACCACTTACCAACATGCGGATAGCCAGAACATTTTGTTTCACCAACAACGGCCAAGCATTATATCTTGTTTCACCTACTGAAATTCAGAGAATCACCTATAGTCAAGACACATGTGAAAATCTGCAGGTAAAAAGTTAAGACATTGCTGCGTTTCTTTAAATTAGAAAGCCCTTGATGAAAAGTCTCTTTACAGTAATCAGATTAAGGAAGGGGAAGTACGTAACTATGTTAACACAGAAATCAGTGAAAATCTATAACTGCTTCAATTTTTTTTAAAAACAATCTTTATGTGAACCCTTTTTATGGGTATTAAGTAATATCTAGTTTGGTTGGATAAAGAATGTTCTGCATTTTAGTTGAAACTCTGTGACTTTTCTTTTGGAATGAGAGCATTCAGATCAGAAAAAGGATCTAGGGCTTGTAGAATTTGCTTTTTCCTCTTTCCCAGCACACATTTTGCTCATCAGTAAGAGGAGGCGAAAGGGCTGACAGTGTGACATGGTTTGAGATAATACGGATAATGACTGAGACAAGGCTTGACATACTGTGCTCTGCATGTTGCCATTGGCAAAGCGGGATGTCTACACAGATCCAGATCCTGTAGTAGCTAGTTCATTTGCTCAGTCATTAAAGTGGATGAACACCTGATTTAAAACAATCATTTAAATGTGTCTGCATATTTGGTTATCTGGCTGCAGAACCAGAGGTTGGGAGTTTGATTCCTTTCTTCTGGGACTATGCAGCTTGCCCAAGGCTACACAGGTTATGTACAGTGCTATGTAGCCTTTGGCAAACTGCATAATACCAGAGTGCTCCCAGGTGAACTACTTAGACCTAGAAAAAGCTGGAAGAGGTTGCCATAAGTTGGAATTGACTTGACGGCACATTAAAAGTATTATACAATTGCTAATTTTTCAGTCAGTGCAGAAATTATCATTGTGTTGTGGGTATAAACGTAACATATGTATCTGGATATGTTGTATTATGATAGTATGTTTAAGTTGTTTGAAGAAGACAAAAACATATTGGAGTAACTAAAATGTCCAATAGAGAAGACAAAACCTCTGTGTTTTATCTCTAGGATCAACTTTTCACAGAATAGATGTCACATTTTCAAAAGTATTAGTCTGAAGCAAAATGATGAAATCTACAGTGTCGATCTTTGCGGACATACAGTGAATAATGGGCCCTTGAAATGATGAAAACTTAGTAAAAGCATAATCAAAGTGTTCTTGCTATATAAAATCCAATAAAATGTTCTCACCTTTATGAAAATGACTTTTCTCCAAAGGAAATGTTGGGAGAGCTATTCACACCAGTAGAAACACCGGAGGCACCAAACAGAGGGTTCTTCAAAGGCCTGTTTGGAGGTGGTGCACAGTCACTGGACAGAGAGGAGTTGTGTAAGTTTTTATAGAACTACATAAAGAGGGTAGAAATATAGCAGAACATATCAAAAACATTCCATGATCAAATGAAATAGATAAGGATGTTAGGCAGAAAAGAGATTAGTGCAAGGTGTAACTTGTTTTCTATCTCTTCGTTACTTGATTTTTGTTGGAAATGATATAGAGCCAAACATACATGGCCAATTTTTTGCCAGATTAAGCATGTCTATTTTCCAATCAAATGAATCTGTTTTTCTAAATTGCGTTAAAAATTGTTCTAATCCTGTGCAGAATTGTTTCATTTATCAAACTAACAGAAATTAAATTATTTCCACATTGTAGGGTCCTAAACATTTGATTTTTGTTGTTGTTGTTTCTTTTACATAACAAGTTGGAGAATCAGCTGCTGGAAAGGCATCAAGGAGTCTTGCCCAGCACATTCCAGGTCCTGGTGGTATTGAAGGGGTCAAAGGAGCAGCATCTGGAATAGTTTGCGAATTGGCCCGAGCCAGAATAGCACTAGATGAAAGAGGGCAGAAGCTGGGTGAGCTAGAAGAACGAACAGCAGCTATGTTAGCCAGTGCTGATTCTTTCTCAAAGCATGCACATGAGGTAATGTATTCTGAAGAGTTAATGTTGTTCTGTACATGAAAGACATTTCGTCTCCTTCTCTCAGTGGGCATTCAGACATAGATTAAGAATTGATTCCACAGGAAACCTGTTGTAATCATAAACAGAGCTTAGAATGTTACATTTTAAAAGGAACATTTGTTACTAGCTACATCTCAGTAGCCTGCTTACTATTTACATTGAGCTACCTGTACCAGTACTGAGGCTGTCATTTTTAGACTTATTCAACATCTTCAATCCTGGAGCAGCACTGTTTCTAATTGATGGATCCTTGATAAAGTACAGTGTCACTGTTGAATGGAGTTGATCACCTTCAGCATTGTGTTCAGCCTCATCTCAGAAGTTCTTCTACAAAAGATGCAGGTTCTACTCAGCAAAGGAGTCATTGAGTTTCACTGGCTACCCTCAAGTTACAATTTTGTTTTATTACAGCAAAACATTTTAATGTTGTGTTGTAATAAAAGCATGTAATAAAGATGGCTGATCTTCCTCCTCTCTTGAAGAAACAATGGTTTGCTATGGTAGACCCAAATAATGCCTCCTTCCATATACCGATTCGACTTTCACATAGGAAGCACCTTTGATTTTCCATAGAAGAAGCATATACCAGATTCCCATTTCGTCTTTCCATGTCATGGAACCTTCACCTATGCAACAGCAGTTGTAGTGGAATATCTAGGGAGACAAGGGATCATCATTTTTCCCTGCATCAACTGGTTAGTTGTGGCTCCTATAAAGTCTCATGTACAGTACCTTCTCAAAATCATGATGACTCTGTTGAACAATATAGGACTGCATATCGATGTGGACAAGTCACATTTGGTTCCAGTTCAAAACATTATTATATGGGCAGGCTGCTGATCACACAAGAAGAATACTAATTAGATTTTACATTATCACAGACATATAGCAAAATCATTTATTCATGTACAGCTTACATTCACTTGTTCGTGTATCCATGATCTCTTTCATCATGCACTTATTCACATCCTTTACTTTAAAATGCCATTATTTGCTTAATACATGTTTTATAGTCTTAGACATGTTTTCTTCTCTCTTTACAGAATGAATGTTACAGGCTAAAATCCTGTTACTTGGATTAGTAAATCACACTAGAATAGGCCCACTGAATCAGTGTGGATTTGGAGATTCAACCCCTCTCTAAGTTCCATGGGCTTAAATGGGCCTACTCTAATTGTGACTTCATCATTGTAAGTTACAACTACAGAAGCCCTATTTGAATCAGTGGAGTTTATGGAGGAATTGACTCACTAAATCCCCATTGGTTTAGTGGGACTACTCTTATACAACTTACTACATGACACAACAGGATTTCAGCCATAGTGTGCCCTGTCAGATGCATAACTGAGTTTTTCCCTTTGTTTCATTCCAGATGATGCTGAAATGCAAAGATAAGAAATGGTACCAGTTCTGACAACACATTTTAAAATGTTTCTGTGTAACTTTACCATGAAGGGGGGAAAAAATTTCATTAACTTCTGCAGGATCAGCAGAACTAGAAGGATGTCAGCCAATGTATCCTGATGTTTCCTAGCACAAATCACACACTGTTTTACCTCAGTCATACAGCTTTAAACTGAGGATCGTTCTGTTTAAAACTGACACCCACATAGTGTGTGTTACCTATACTGGGAGCTTGGGAACAGAGTTGTTAAAGAGAACACATGGACAAAAAATAAAATTCGGTATCAGATGAACAGGGGCACTGCAGGATCTATCCTGTGTTAATATTCCATATGCCAAATGTTTTGTGCTATCGTTGTTGCTGCCAGTGTTTCACCCTCCTGTAGGAGGATGCAATAAGTCAGGGGTCCAAGAGCTTGAAAACAGTTGTTCAACTTACAGGACTACTAGTAACTGATCTACACCTTCCCTCCTTAGAGCACATCATAATAATTGTTACTAGAGATGACTTTCTCTGCTACCAACTCTCTGATCTGATAAACTGGAAGTATGTGAGCTCTGCCCTGAATATATACATATATAACATGCACTTGAAGTTTTCTTGGACCCCTGATCTAGTGTTCTTGTATTTGCAACCTCACCCTGTTGATATGTTCAGAATTCATGATAAGCCATGATTTATCATGATGAGAATGGCCCATGATGAGCCTGGGACTTGTGCAGTCTCCCCCTCTTCTCATTTCTTAATATGGCCATGAAGATGTGTTCAGAAGCTTTTTCTTCACTTTTTCATAAACTGCAACTTGTCATTTTATCTATATCAAAAAACTTGTGGTTAAAATTATGAACTTTATTTTGGTGGCTTGGACTTGATTAAATGCTTTACGTTTTTGAAAATAGTCATCTTCATGCAATATGATTTGAAGCTGGCTTATTTCAGCAAACTGTAATTATCTGCCACAGCAGAGTTCAGACTTAATGCTAATCTGATACATTAAATTTCCCTATATCCTCCTAGCTGCCTGAGGAAGGAGGAGGGACAATGTGAGTCCAAGGTTCACAAAAGCTCATTCTTGTCGTAATAAGCCATGCTATATTATGATCATGGAAAGCAGCCAATGCCAAGTGCAAAACAAGAGGATAGGTTACTTTCGCATTGTAAAAAAAAGGGATTGAACTGAACATTATGCTGAAAGTTTTCATTTGTGTTATGGCTATGTGGTGTGAAAAGTTTTCTTTAAAGTTCCAGTAATAAGAAAAATATTTGTCATCTTTTAGATACCTATTTTTCCCCTGCAAATATGGTTGGGTCAATTTATATAATATTTTGATATGATTACCGACTGGTTAATTCATGTTGTACATCTTTTTAGTGTGTTTAATAGAATGTATTTGTGCAAGCACTTAAGATCTACCAGAAATGTAACCAGCTTACATGCCCAATCAGAAAATACTTGCAAGGTCATATAGTCTGAAATCTGGGTAGTGTTGAGCTTTGAGATACAACTTGATGGATATTAGCAAGCATTTTGTTATCAACTGTATTAAGCTAAATTAGCTTTAGACATTTTTCAGATATACTTCAAACCTATCAGCAAAGAGGTTGTCTCCAGAATCCATTTACCTGGAAGAAATTCATGTTGATTGAAATTAAATTCCTTCTGTGGCAGTGTTCTAAAGTTCACTGCATGAATTACACAAAAGTTAAAATCAGGGTAAGTTGTTTCCAAGACATAGCACTAAAAACAAAATATTAACATTAGCATTTTACCACTTCAGCAACTTGTTTCCTATTTAGATTTGTATGAGATGAGGGATTTAAGACGTGCCAAACTGAAGCAGTATATTTTTAGCAAATAAAGGCTGCACCAAAGCCATAATATAATAAGAATAGAAAGGATTTATTTAAAAAATATTTAGAAAAATGAGAATTCTTTGTCATGCTAGAAACTGGAAATAGTAACTTACTTGTGATCATTTGCAAAGAGCCTTAACTAGTTTAGGCTTATTTTGTAAGCAAGTGCCAGTGAGAGGTTTGGGTATTATTTTCCTAAACTTGATTGTACTGTGTATGTGTTGAATGGGTTGTCTGATTCGTATGTGATAAACATACAATTTTGAAGTGTATATTCAGCAGTGCTCTATGAAGCTAGTTTATTTTTGCTCAAAGCAAATTATTTCGTTAAACATTTGCACGGTGTATAATGCAATCTAGGTTGAAAATATTACTGACTGACCTTACCCAGTCTGGTCTTTTAAAGCCAAAAAGACTTGCTTCTAAATAAATTTGATTTAGAATTACTTGAATTGAATGCCACTATTCCCTTCTAACAGTCTGGTTGTTGCCAAAAGTTACTTATTTAGTATGGTGGGATGTGACAGGGGAAGGCTGCAAGGTGCAGGAATATTTGAATCTGTTTCTCACATGGTAGTGTATTTACATACTGAAAAACAGCTTGTCACTTCCTTGCAGTGCAGTTTTCTGTAAAGTAGTATAATCTTGCTGACCATTTGCAAAACAGTCAAATGTTCTCACTACCCCATTGTCCTGGGCCTGCAGAAAGCGGTTTTGGCCTGTAGCCAAATTAATGTCCTAGAACATCTCATTTAAAAACATACTATTGGTTTTGTTTTTTACATGCTGTTCCCTGAAAATATATCCAGTTTTTTCTGTTAAATTATCTGGATTGTGTTTACCTATAATATGAATATATAAACCAGATAATTAAAAGGTAGTGATGTGAGATTAAAACATGTACCTATGCATTGTGGGAACTCTTCTAAATGCATTAGCATATTCATTTTTCAGTGTACAAATAGCATGATGCAGCCAAAGTAAGCATCTCAAAGCCTATTGATTTCATATAAAGACATGTAGGCACATGCTAAAACAGTATCATATTAATTTATCAGTGCTTATCATTGGCCAGTAATTCTAGTAATTCAATTAAAATGTGGTTGTCAACCCCCCAAAAAATCCCAGCTCCCTGTTCACACAGAATTAAGAGTAGAGTTGAATAATTACTCTGTCTAAAACAGAAAACAGCCACAACAGGAGAACTCTATCTATGGTAGATTCAGAATTACTGCCATCAGTGATAATGTGTGAGCAATCCTGGAAGTGATGTGTTCCATTGGAATGTACAACACTTTGATATAAAGGCTTTAGATAAAGGTTCGTAGGTTCTGAGCAAACATCAAATCAATGTATCACCATTTACCACCTTGTTATTTTTATGATATAAGATGACCTATAGAGAATTCTAGTAAATACAAGACAAGGAAGATAAGAAAGCTTATGCTAGCACAAGGATATGCCAAAAACCATCTATTGTAAACTGTGTTCTCACACTTTATACCATAAATAAAAATAATCTGGGTAGAAAATGTTTGCAGAAATCAGGCCTGGCAAGTAATTGTGTTATTTATCTTATTCTGTCTGTTCAGTAGTTCTAGCCATGATGTTCAGTTATATTTGTAGGACAACTTACTTTGTGTAGGTGTTCTTTTGTCTAATATTAGAGAAAATTGTCCTTATCCACTTGCTGGCATTTTAGTCAGTGTTATAAGAATACTAATTATAAGAATACAAGTGATAGCTTTTAAAAACTTGAAGAGAAGTGGTTGTGTGATTTACATGTTTTTAGAGTTCTCCCATGACTTCTGATCAAACTGGTTTTGGATGTTTTTCATAGCATGTGCTGAATTTTCTCAGGGCTTAAACTTTGAAATGAGATGGGGCGGAAGTTACCTGAAAAATCTTCATATCTTTTAATCCCAGTTCATTTTCATTCGCAACACCATTGCTTTCACTTTTTCCCTAGAAACAAGTATATTACCCATCCATTCTGTTTGGCTAGGAGTTTAATGAAAGCTACTGAATGTATAGTCCTAGCCCATAAGCCTTCCTCTCTACTACTTAAGCAACCTCACTGGGTTTTTGTTTTCCACAGAAAGTTGATTGAATAGTAATGATGCAGCAGTTAGTAAGAACTGCAAACATATTGGGCAGAAGTGGAAACAGGTGTTTGAGGGATTTTAAAGTTACAGAATATGGTGTGTCATTGCAGAGGTGTGAACATTTTTGTTACTTATTTCAGTCTCCATTTATGAAAATAGTAAGAAGGGAAAAACATTTTTGCCATGGGAGAGGTGAGTTCTAAAACCACATCCTCTATTTTGGGCATTTTGTTCTAGCACTGCAAGGTTGGGGAAATGAAAATGATATTCGAGTAAGATTACCAGCACTGCTCCAAATGTATATAATCATCCTGGTGAATTGTTATTGACTAGTATCTTCTCTCAGTACAGTATCTTGTCTCAGACAAATAAATGCTCTCTTAGTGTCTAAACCTCTTTTAAGAATAATCAGGGGATTTCCCCCAAAAAAACACATACGAAAATATGGGACCTACCATCAAGTTCCTATTCAGCCTATTTTTTTTTTAAAGGCAGACAGTGGGGAGTGCACATTTCCTTGAGAATGAAATACTTAGGTCAGAGCTGCTTGTCATGTGAGCTAGAAGAAATTAGAAATTACAAAAACAGAACAGACTCTATTCCATCAAGGTTCCATTTGTTGTCATATTTGCACAATTACCAATGGGTCAGTGATCATGCCATGACAGTAGGATTAATGTCTCACTCCAGAAAAATGAGCATCTATACACAGCCTAGATGAATTATTTTTTTACATTGATAAAATGCAAACAAACTGCTGCTATTTGTCTTTATGTAAAGTTCCTATGTTCAAATATAACCAACTGAAGACATGTTTCTTTAGTTAGAAATCTGCCAAATTGTAATTTCTGAATGTTATTCCATGTAAATATTTTGTGTATTTCAAGCAAGTCTGAAAGTGTGACACCATTCACATTCATTACATATATATTTATTAGGCTGATTTCCATCTGTTTTCTTTGTACAGTTTATTACATATACAGTGTGACAATATTAAATTAGAAAGCTATAGCCAAAGGTGAATTTTGATGCAGTGACTTTCCTTTTTGCTTTCTATGGCACTGTAATCTGAACTATAAACTTGAATTTCTTTTCCCTGCACTTTAAGTAAAGCAAGCTTGAGTACTTTGTTCTTCAGCATTTGAGTTTTATATTACATTTCTATACATAATATAGTTTAGAAAATTCCGTTCACCAAACTACTTGTCTGTACAAAAATAACTATATATCCTCTGCATGGTGCCCTTGTGGACAGGATCCTCATCTGAGAGTGAAGCCTGCATACATGGACCTGCTTCCTCTACAGAAATGAATAGGTAAGTGACAAGTACAGGAACTCCTCATAGGTATCAGAACTCCAGTGACAGGGATAGACTGCTGGATCAGGAAAACATAGTGAATGAACAAACAACAAGCAAAATTCTCATTTTTAAGTTAGTGAAACACTTTCAGATTTGTTTAATGATCACCTCTACCCCGTAATGTCATTCATAGTAAGATTTGCTTTGGTTCCGTAGAAATGAATAACAGCTGAGCACAGATAATCATGGCTGAATTGCAGACCCAGTGATTAATTATACATAATACTATTAAAATATAGTTTGTTGTCATATTTAAAAATGTAACTGTAAAATCTTAATTTTAGAAAAAAAAACTATTTCTCAAACAACTTAATAGATATATAATTCATATAGAAGTTAATTAAGCTTTTAATAAGGGGGGGATCTTGTATCAAGACAATAGTAACAAATTAACCTAATTTGATTTGTTGGAGATAACTAAAACAGTTCCTGGTTTAATCTATAGTAACTGCCCAAAGTGGGTAGCAAAGTGTGTACATACATGAGTGTGTGTGCACATGCACAGACCATCAAAATTGTAAAACTGTTTGGAATAGCTGCAGTTTGTTGATGGACATTTATCATAGCTCTTTGTTTTCCATGAATATGAATATTCCAAATTCTAGATTTTCTGGTGTTCCTTTGGCTTAATAAAATAAATTTCAAAAAAATAAAAGTGAATTCCATGTATTTTTGTCAATTACAACTTTCTGTGTATATAAGTTATGGTCTCTGCATATATTTTATACTGATTGTTACTTTTCCTCAGAATGTTATGAAAGTGGACATTCTTACAATTCATGAGCCATCCTACTTGTTGGTAGTTCGATGCACAGGAACAAGAATAAGACTGCACTTGTAGTGTGCCCAATGATTGAAAAGTGCTCAATGTATGCCTTTGTTTACTGTGCAAATTCTCAGCCATGCTTGCTCCCACAGTCTAGATATTTATCTGTGAAATAGTATATATTTTATTTCTTTGTGAATGTTAGTGATGTTGATGCCAAAAAGGAGATCATGTTGAATGAATGTTATTGTTGGGGGTACTGGGTGGTATAATGTCCAATACATGTGAATTATTTGAACTTGAATGCTGTTTAACATGCATTGAAAATTTAATCAAGATAAGTACATGGATGCTACCATACATGTTTCCTGTATAAATCATGTTTGTTTTAATTCCACTGATGAGTGTAATTTCTAATTTTTAAACAAATTTGAGGTATAGGGTTGATTATAGAAATCAATGATGCAACTAAGTCAGTATTAGCATTTTTTGATAAAAGAACCTAGAAACTGATCTTTCTAAATCTCAAGTAACTGTAGTATGTTCCTTCTTGACCACTGTAATTGTTTATTTCTGTATTAATAGAAGTTTGATTCTATTTTTTTTAAATAAAATCATGGCATCATTCATGGAATAATTTTTGATACACAAAGTGGGGTAACTCTTGCGTGTTACTTCCCCTTTTTAAAAAATGTGTAAATAAACTATATGTGTGTTTCTTAAACACACATACCACTATTCATCTTGGTTAGTCCAAAAGGAACGTGCTGCTTTTTGGTTATGCTGTTCCATTATGCAAGAACCATCCAAGGGTGGGGGTGGGGGTGAAGAACATTGGTAAATGTTTCTAACATTACTCATTGGGAAAGCATGCTTGATATAGTACTTCTAGCTTATATGTATCTTAGTCTCTGTACATTGTATCCTTTTCATTTTTCTTTTACTATTCACTACCACTTGTTAATTTCAGTCTTGCAGAGCCCCACTATGTGTTCTGAAGATGAAACTGGGAAATGCATCTTGGGATAGGGTTGCAAATTCATCTGTCTACAAATATAGTTTCGTATGAACTGCAAACCATACTGTTAAAAATGTAAATGTTAGATTGCATAGTTATTTTACTTAATGTACTTGATCCTAAACTATGTCATAACATTAAAATTAAGTATGGGATATTTTTGTAAATAAAAAAATACCTGTGCAGCTGGTATTTT